TAGTGTTGCTGTAAATATTAAAATAATTAATTATGGTACGGAATCGAACGAAACCGAACGATTCCATAATTATATTTGGATCCTACAGTTCCATTTATTAAATACTCAAAAGTTTTGAGTACTGACCGACGAACAGCCCTAAGTATGAGTATTGTTATTGTAGGTAAAACTCAGACTTCGAGACATTTGAAGCAAAAAAATACAAATTTTTTTAAAAACATAATTGGTGTTGAATTGGAGCAATTGAAGGCTAACCAGATTGCACAAGATTAATAAAAAAAAAAAATCTAGAAAGGAATCTAAGAAAATTCACAAGTTTCAAGAATGAAATTCAACTTATCAAAAGCTTGGTGACTTAATTGCATATTTTTGAAACTTATGGATTTTGTAAAGAATATCAAGGCTAGGGACCAACATAAATTTCTTGAAAGATTCCGGGTCAATATTAAAGGTTAGGACAAAAAATGATAAATATCGGACAAAATTCTTGAAGCCGTGACCAAATTGAAATAAATTTGAAAGTTCAAGGTTGATCTAAGATTTATAAACAAAACTTCCATACGGCGAGTTCCATGAGCTTCTTTGAAGTCTCCCTTGAATTTTCGTCGCCCTTAGAATCGAGGAAGGAGGAATTGAATTATTTTTAATTAAAAAAACATGTTTAGAGTTTTATATTATAAAATTACTGTACCAGTTTCCCACTGTTTAGAAAAATATTGTTATATCATCAATAAACAACTACATATCATCCATCCCAAAAAAAAAAAATCTGCTTCTGGGAAATTGCAACTTTTAATAAGTGCAAATAAGTTCTGAACCTCTTGTTTTTGGCAGTCCTCCCTAACATTTGTACAAATACGCACGCAGCACAAAAATTTTTAAATGAAAAAGTCTGAGTTATTTTTTGCGAAATCAAGGAGTAATATTGATGTATTGAAATCACATCATACTGCTTAATTTTGTCATTTTACAATAAAAGAAAGGAACTCAATAATAATAAATTTTTGGTCTTATCCACTCATAAACAAATACCATAATAAACAGATTGAGAAACTTTAGGGC